AATTATAAAATAAATAAAACTATATCCTTTTTAAAAAAAAAAAAAAAAAAAATAAATACATACACACGCGATTAACCATATATTATTCTCTATATTAATATTCTTCAAATTAATAATCTCTTTTCATACCCTTCTGGCATAATTTGGCATCAAATCATTGAGCAAACTCTCAGCAGTCTCTTGAAAATTTCGCAAAACAAAAACTTTGAAAATCATTTCATGTAAGATGGCAAACATGCACAAATATTTATTTTACTTCACCATATTACGAACGTTTGTCGTCCAACTTGCGCGACATAACCTCTTCTCTCCTTGACTGAATTATATTTTTCTTTTTAATTTATCGGCCCGTATTAAATCGTACGATGCCAAGACGTTTCGTAGAAACACACGGCCACAAAGAAACCGTATAAATTCGATCGATCGTTACCATTCGTACAATTGTATTTACTCTCGACATAAATTCTAATCCTATCCTCGATCGATCTGAGACACCATCCGTGTTAAGAGATTTTACACGTATCCCCCAATTCTTTTTATTTTCGCACATTTAAGTAATTTTCTTACTCGTTTCTTTTTGCGAATTGAATATTTGTAAGCACATTGTTAATATCTATTAATTAATTATTAAATAAAATTGTTTTAATATCGTCATTTATGATTTTATATCGCTCGATAATATGCTATTGATAACCTCAAAAGATTTAAAAGTATCATAATTTTTTTCAACTGTAATAATAACTTTTCTTTAAAGTCTATGACATCCATATATCTATAATGATTATTATTATTGGCACGTGTCATAAGCAAGAAGATAGTTAAGTATTTCATTTGTATACAAGGTAACAAATTAAGAGATACGATAGTGTCTGAATAAATAATGTGTGTAACTGTATATACAAATAGTACTTCCGTATCGTGTATGCTATACAGAGTGTCCAATTCGAATCTTTATGCAATTATCTTCCTATGCAATATATATATATATATCTTCAATATTTTAAATTTTTTAAATCTATGAAAATAATTGTAAAAGTTATATAAATCGAATATCAAATTATGTGTATAATTATATCACCAAGATATAATTTTCTTTATATATACAAAATGATGATAAGTATAACATAACATTAGAAAGTTTCATAATTATTTAACAATATTTAATATATTTTTTGGAAAAAATAAAACTCTTGATGATAAATACAAAATTTTCAAATGTATAGATGATTATTATCTTGAAATGATGAAGTGTGATTCTGACATCATAGTATAAAAAAAAAAAAAAATAAAGAGATTTAATGACCATAACAAAAGCATGCTTAAAAAATTATCTCGCGCTCTTTGAGATAAAAATTTGTAAAGAAAAATATAGAACTCGATCGAGACAAGGTGAAAAAGGAAGATAAAAGATTCATCAGAGATAAAAATAAAATACTTATGGCGCCAGAACGAAATAAAAGAAAAAAAAAAAATACAAAATCAATGAGAATATAAATTTCCAACAGGATAAAAGGAACTACAGTAAAATTAAACAAAACAAAATACATATGTCGTGTGACACAGGAATACGAGATGATAGTTCAACTTTCTATCACATAACCTTTCGTGTAATTTATACATCCGTTATTAGTTTCATCGAACGAACAAATGTACATTCATGTAAATCGTGATTCGTTTCATTCGCTATGCCGAGCTCGACTGCCGTTTTGAATTAACGTTGCCTAGATCTAACGTCTAGATAGAAGACCATGTGAATCATGATACAATAACGATTGTTATGAAATCAGAAGTAAATCAAAATTGGTGCTAGAAATAATGAGAAAATCAATATTTTGTAATATTTTAAAAAACTTTTGAATTTTAAAGAAAAAATAGATTTATATTTAGATATACATACGTTAGATATACATATGTTTTGTGTATTTATTAAAAATGGAAATCAGAATGACTCGAAATTCAAAAAGAAAATATTGAAAGAAAGCCATTTTGATAAGTTTATTATTGGCATGAAATAATACAACAATTATGAAGAGCATTTCAAAAGAACCAAAATTGTTTTCAAGGATGAGTAAAACATTGGCATTGGTACATAGCTTTCCAAGTATATACTTCAAAGGTGGCTACATTCAAGAATGAGGTACTTACATAGTAATTTTATCGCAAAGAGTTGGCGAACTTTATTGTTAAACCACGTGCACATTGCTGAATCGTTCGATACCGGGAACAAGGACGTACTTACAGCTTCCAGAAGGACGGATACAAGATGCCAACGAAAATAAACAACAAAGGATGCGAGTTGGAACTCTTTGGAAAAATAAAGAATGACTTGGCTAGTTTGAAAATTTATGTCAGAACTGTATCAGATTGTAAGTAAAATTAATTGCACCATAAAATACAATATATATAATACATACATTTTTACATACATTTACTACTGAGTTATTTGAAATTTAAATGATAAAATAAATTATAAGTTGAAATAATAAAAATAAAGAATGATAAATAGTAAAACTGAATAAAATAATTTATTTCAGTTTGTTATAATATATAAAGATACTTACATTTTTTATTTTTTATTTTACATA